CATCCATCAGATCAGACTTCGGGGTATTTTATTCATTAATGGTTGATGTGGGAAGGTCCAGCCCACTTTGGTGATGCCACCCCTGGGCAGGTGATCTTGGGACATATAAAAAGCAGGCTGAGCAAGCCAATAAGAAACATTTCTCTATAGTCATTGATTAAGTTTGGTTCTTTCCTTGAGTTCTTGTCTCCATTTCCCTTAAAGATGGACTGTAAACTGTAAGATGAAAAAAACACTTTCCACCCCAAATTACTTTTGGTCATGGCGTTTATAACAGCAATAGAAAGTAAACTAGAACAACCACACTGAAATTGGTGCCTTTAGTCCCTGCACCCGACGTATTGACTCTCCATTTCAGCCCTTGTGTAAGATACAAATAGAAAGTCGTATATACACTGCCGTTTGCCTATGCTGCAAAGCTTGGGGTCTGCTCTGGTTGGAGACATGGTTTAAAAGTCTAGGAGTGTGACTGATGTGTCTCTATTTGTAAAGTGATGGGCCAGGTCAGGGCTAGTTTATATCTCATAAATTTTGCTTCCTTCAATCCATGAAGGTATGAAGGGTAGGGTACAGGATCTTTTTAGTAGTAGAATGTACTAGTGTAGAAATGTCTAATGGACAGAATAGAAAAAGTGCCACCCCCTGGACTGGCTGTTGATTACTCAAGAAACATTGAGGAAGGAGTAGCCAAGTTTGTGACTGGCCACCAGGGGTCGCCAGAGGAATTGAGAGGGCAGCTGAAAAAAATGGGCCTTGTTCTGTTCTTTCCTTTGCAGCTCTTTCTCCCTTTCCGTTTTCTTTTCCTTCCTCCCTCCTTCATCTTGACAGAGTCACTCTGTGTAGCCCAGGCCAACATAAACTCTTAATCCTTGTCTTCATCGTCCTAGCAGTGGAATTGGGGGTGTGTCTAAACACCCAACCACCACAGTTCTTTCTTGCTCACCAGTGAAGGGCTCATCCTCTTGGGCCCCATCTTTCCCATGTCCACCCGTCTTCTTTTGCTACCTAGGTACCCAAAGATCCAGGAATCCTCTGCTCCTTCGCATCTCATTGCCCCTTCCTTCTTTCAGCAGCTCCTGTGATAGTACTCAGACCCACGCTTCTCTGTGCTCCCAGAAGTCTTCTTCTCTTTGTCATCAAAAAGATAACTCTTTGCCAGTGGGATTACTCATCTATGATGTCCAGGGCATTTGAAAAACCCCTCAAAAGCCCTGCCTTTCAGTCCTCGATCTCGTGTTCCTTTGCCCATCTGTCCATATATGTAGCTATACTTAGCTGTCTTCCCACCTGTCAGAAAAACCAGTCAGAACTCATTGTTTAGAAAGATGCACCAGATACTGCCTGAAGGTTATGCCTGTACCTACTATTCACATATGCTCAATAACCTGTGTTTCCAGGCAGAGGGCACAAAGGTACAGAGAAAATAAGGAATTTGCCCTAGGACACACAGCTATAAAGTAGCATAGTTGGAACTCCAGTCCTGGCAGTGACTCTGGATTGCACACTCTTTACCAGTGTGCAATTTTATTTTTTTTCTAGCCATGAGTAGGAGCTAACCCACAGCTTGAGAGAGCAGCCTGAGAGTGGATAGTGTGTGCTATTAGATAAACTGAGCTAGATGCAGGCAGCACAATGGTGATAACTTATTGCCGTGGAGTGATGCCCACGACCTGTAGTCCAGGACCACAGAAACAAGATCTTATCGCTTACTGTGTCTACAGCGTATGGAATGTTCATAAGATGACCATGCACGTGGCATGTGTATAGAGAACTCCGCAGATGTCTCCATGGTCAGCTTTAGGAAGTAGGACTGGGAAGAGCAGAGGGAGATTTGAAAATGATGGCTCAGTGTGTAAATGCACACACCACCAAACCTGAGGGTGTGAGCTTGGCCCCCCAAGACCCGCATGAGAGAATCAGCTACCAAGATTTGTTCCCTAGCTTCTACAAGTGTTCTGGGAGATAGAGATAGATAGATAGATAGATAGATAGATAGATAGATAGATAGATAGAAGATGGAAGTTTCTGTCCCGCCTGATCCCACAGCCACTTTGCCCCAAATAAACACACAAAGACTTACATTGAGTATAAAATGTTTGGCCAATGGCTCAGGCTTCTTATTGGCTAGCTCTGTCTTAATTATTAACTCATTTCTATTAATTACCCATAATCCAACATGTTATTCCTTCTGGAACATGGCGTCTCTTCACGGCCTCTCTCTGCCTTCTCTCCCATCCTTCTCCTTGCCTGGTAGCCCCTTCTATGCTTCCTGCCTGGCTACTGGCCAATCAGTGTTTTATTCATCAACCAATAAGAGAGACATATGTACAGAAGAACATCCCCCATCGATATATAGATAGGTAGGTATGTAGGTAGGTAGTTATGTAGATAGATAGATAGATAGATGTAATAAGATTTCAAAAGAAGTTCTTCACTTGAAATACAGTATGTATTGAGGAAAATGACTTTAAAGCCTCCAGGGGAAGAACTAAATGTTTTGAATCATAACTTTAATGAAAGTAATTTTTTTTAAGTTCCAAATTCCACCCTACCTGCAACTAATGAGCAACAGTTTCTTATTTCATTGGCTGCCAAGTCTGTAGTGTGGCTTTGTTCAGGATGTCATCGTCGAATTCTCTTCTTTCCCAGGAGAAGGGCCTCACCTCACAGGTGAGAGAGGGCTATGTCACACAGGATTATCTGTAAGAAATTCATGCCACTAGTGTGGTCTGTCATAGTTTTTTTGCTTTCTTCACCACGGAAGCATGCCACGCTGTGAATGATGCTTGGGGACATAGCATTAAATATACACCTTTGCATCCCTGCATCTGGTTGAGGCATGGCATAAGCACACAGGGGGCTCGGCCCGTCAAGGTGTGGTAGGGTTTTCTTTAAAATCAAGCTGCTGCAAGAGCTGCTGAGCACCGAGAGGGAGGTCAGCTGAGGCTGCAGGCTGGCTGGCTCTTGGTATTCCAGCCCAAGAATGCAGAGTGCTTCACAGCTCCATAAGAACCCTGTTTGGCACATTGCTATTTGACTTGTCCTGTAGAGGGGCCTCTAAGAGTCTAGAGATAACCCTAACCCTGGCAGGTCACTGGACAGTGGAGGAGAAGAGGGCAGTGGAGACCAGTTGTCTAGGAGACTAAGACAGCAGGATCGCTGTCACCTTGCAGGTCCCCAACCTGTTTGTTGTGTAAGAAACTTCTGAAAAAAGCCGAGGGTTCCACCCTGCTCCTCCACAGCATGGCATTGCAACCCCTGTGGCGTGAGGCAAGGCGGAAGTCATTTTCTTAAAAAGACATTTCCATATTATTTTAATATATGAGCAAGCTTGAGGAACACGGGTATACGTGGACCTAGAGGAACCCTGGGGTTGAGCATCCTTAAGTCAGTGCACCCCAGAACCTCGTACTCCCAGGAGGCTGTAAGAATGGGTATGACTTCCTGTTCCCCTGGTTTTCCCACCTACCCCTTGTTGTGTGGAGTTTGCTCCCTCTACTGGGTGAATAAAAGTGTAGGGGTTAAGGACCTGGTGAGCAGCAGAGGCCCTAGGAGGAGGTAACTCACAAGTCTAAGCAAAATACACAGCAAGTGGCTCCAGGAAGGGTGGGGCAGGGTATAGAGCATAGATTTTCAGCAGAGCACTCAGGTACCGCCACCAGCATCGCCACCACAGGGCAGGTGAGGAAGCTGAGACTGGAAGAAGCAGGGGCCAGGGTCACCACAGCTGTTGTCGAGTAAAGTCACAGCCTCCTGGTTCCAGGCCTCCCTCACAGCAGCTCTGACACAGTGCCTTCAGTTTTGGGTTTTCTGCTGTGACTTAACAGAGAAGCCCCACCACCACCGCCACCTAGTGTGTGTGTGTGTGTGTGTGTGTGTGTGTGTGTGTGTGTGTGTGTGAGCCATGTCAACATTTGAGACAAGAAGATAACAGAGTGAAAAATACATCAGGGATCATAGGAGCCAAAGGATAAAAGAGAAGCCGAGCAGGGCACTCTGCTGTTCTTCTGTTTGTAGAAGCGTTGAGTGCAGCTCGCTGCTGAATCCTTAGTGTTCATCCTTCCTTTGCAGCAGTAGCTAGCATTTGCAGAACACATATCACAGCCGCTCACCAGGTTTTATGGAACATGATTCAGCCTCCTGTCAACTACACATTGCAGATAGTGGCACCAAAGCTCATTTCACAGGTGTGCAAAGCAAAGCCCACATTGCTTATGTGTCTTACCTAAAGTCACCCAGTTGGAGACAAGCAAAGCCCAGGCTTTCATCTGGAGAACTTAGTGCAGGTATTTGTCACTCACCCATGCCTGACCATGGCTATAGGCCTGCAGGCCAGAAGCCCAGCCTGACTAACACTTTCTACACTCACTCCTCAGTTATAACAGCCAATCACATTTACTGTGTCGGAATGCCCCAAGAGAATTAACTATGTCACTTTATGTCCTGAGAGTTGAGAGTGGGTCTGGAGGTGGCACATCATGTCAAAGCTGTTCTACAGCCAATGGCTGTTCCCAAGAGCACTCTCAGAGAAGGTCCAGAACAGACGAGAGAACCTATTAGACGACAGGAAAGTGGTACCCCATGTATGGTCCTCCATATTCTTGACTTCAGCTCTCAGTGACACCCTGCTAAGTTCGTCTGGCCTCTCACTACAGCCTCCTCACAGTGTCCTGAGGAGGAATCCAGCCTCCTCCTGTACTTGTGTGAGGAACTGGGACAACTAGGAAGGGCAGGAGATATTTGATTTCCTTACTGTGCTTGGAGGATAGAGCATGCAGATGGCAAGATGCTGTCAACTGCACAGGAAGACACCAGCTTTTGGGGCACACATAAATCCCAAGTAGGAAAAGGTGACCGACCTTTATTTATAGGGTAGGTCCCTTGGGGCTAGAGGCGTTCTAGAAAGTTGTCAAGGATGGGTAAGACAGAGGCTTCATGCTCTTGGGTGTACTTGGCAACCTTGGTGCATTTCTGCTCACTGGCTTTTCTGTCCCCTCCAGATACAGCCTGAGAGTGCCCCAGTAGTCCTCTGGCTTCAGGGTGGTCCTGGAGGGTCATCCATGTTTGGACTCTTTGTAGAACATGGGCCTTATATTATCACAAATAATATGACTGGTAAGTGATGCCTCGACTGCTTTTCCCATGGGCTTCCTTCCAGACCATGTCCCATCTTCCTTCTTTTATCTACGTTAAGATTAATTGAGAATAAACACAAGAACCACCACGAGTAGCTTAATAGTTCCAGACTATAGGAACACAACTTTGTGTCTGTCTAGAAGGAGGAGCCCCGGGGTGAATGTCCTGCCTGGCTTACTTTCTCCTGCAAATGTGGGCGAAAGGGTCTAAGCTGTTTTCTGCAAGCCAGCTGCTGACTCAAGCATTCTTGGCTTACAAAAACAGTTGGTATTTATTACTGTTTGGGTGAGCCCTCTTGCACGGGCCTAATGGTGGAATTATATCCCTCATTATCCACAGGGATTGAAAGGACAGAAGGCTTTATGAGTCCATCACTTAAATGAGACAATGCCTTGAAAGCAAGATGCTGGGGGTTGTGCTAAGGTAGAGGAAGGGTTAAAGAAAGAGCCTCTGGCTGTGTCCCAGGTCGGACTCTATCTCTGTCTCACTGTGGAGATAGTTCGCCATCTCTGAGGCAGCATTCAAAGTATGAATTTGTTTGCGACTCACCATAAAAGCTTTTGTGACAGCTTTGGTGGGGTGGTTGTTCTTTTCATCATTGGGGAGGAGGAAGAGGATCCAAGAGCCTGGGTGTAGGGTATAGGAGTCCTTTATAGGATAGGACAGATAGGCATTTCATGTTAGTTCTTCACGGGATTTTGTTGTTATACTCACTTTCTTAGCTATAGATGCTGCTATGTTGGGCAAAAGTACAGAAAAGAAGAAAAAGGGTGAAGGTGATGGGTACTGGTCTTCCAGAATGTGGCACAGTGACAGAGTGCATGCTGAGAGGACAGTGGGGCATGCTGGGGCACACTGCCTGGGATATTTTGTCACAAACTCAGCCATTTCTTCTGTTTTGACAGTTCTTGCTAGAGACTTCCCTTGGACCACTACCCTTTCCATGCTTTACGTGGATAATCCAGTAAGTACCACAGGACACCAGGAAACATCAGTGCTGGCATCATGTCTGTTTTTTTTTTATTATTATTATTTTAATTACACACAGTCATGGCTGCATGGTGGCATTTTTGGTCAACAGAAGCCACATACACAATGATGTTTCTGTGAGGCTCTCAAGGAGCTGAGATGCTCCTGTTACCAGCATTTTTCTGTTTTCCTTTACCTTTTCAATCATTACACACGTTTAGATATACAGATACCTGCCACGTGCTGACGATTCTTGCTGTATTCAATAGAATAACATGTTCTTGTGTACATTCCTCCAGTGTGTGATGGGCTATGCTTTCTAAGTTTGTGTGACCCCTCACTCTGATGAACTTATGAGAACAAATGCTTAAGTTGTCATAAGCATCAGCTATATATTACTGTATGTTTTCTAAAATACAGAAACATTTTTTCCTTTTTAGATTAGAATTTAATTTATAAAGTGAGCAGCCAGGCATGGTGAAGCATACCTACAGTTCCAGCATTTGGAGTCTGGGACTGTAGAATAGTGAGCCCAAGACCAACCTGAGCTGCATCAGGAACTCTAGGCTAGCTTATTCTGCATTGTGGGATCCCTCCATCCCAAACAGCATTGAATGTCACCACTAGGAAAAGGGACAGGTAGACTTTCACTCACGGTATGAGTTCCCTTTCTCATGAGTTACTGCTTAATAATGGATTCCCCATCTCTTATGCAGACTTCTAGACACAAAGAGCAAGGGACGCAGAATGCCTCAATGATACATAGGATGATGGCAGAGATCCGAAATCAGAGGTGGATTTAGAATCAGTGGGGCCACCTCCCAATGTGGGGTCCAGTTGAAAGTCCCCAGGGAACATGTATCTTCATACTTCTCTTCATTTCCTTCCTCCTCAGGTGGGCACAGGCTTCAGCTTCACTGACAGTATCCGGGGATATGCCATCAGTGAGGATGATGTAGCCCAAGACTTATACAGGTATGATACGCATCTATGGCAATAAGAAAAGTCTGGTGGTAGAGTTGCTTCAGATTGGTCCTTATTGCCCAACTTCTAAAACTTTGCAGAGCGTTTCTACATGAGTATGAGTGTGTACCCACACACAGCTTCTTCTGCTCTTTCTTTCCTTGTCATTGGCAATTGTTTGTATGATGACCAGACAAAGTAAACAGAGCTAAATCATGAGTATGAGTTTTACATCAATATCCTATGAGAAACAGTAAAGGTATAATACACATTTTCAACTAAAGATTCCTTCTCAAGTTGTTCATCCAGATGGCTTACAAGTTTTCAATTGTCTCTAAAATTCTATTTAGCTTTGTGCTTGCCAGAAGCATGTCTTCCCCCCCCCCACAATTGCCCCTTCTGTGGCTCTAGATGTATAGTATAGTTCACTCTGTAGCTTTGTCATTACTTTTCCAGACTGAATATGGTCTTTCTCCTTCTCCTTCATCTTACAAAATTTTTCTTTCACTTAAAAATAAGTGGTGGTGGTGGTGGGGAAGAGATATAAAGTTGTGATCTTGCTTAAAGTATATACACATAAATTTTCCTTTCATTTTCTTGCATTCTTTACATCTATTTTTAGTATGTTTTAAAAAACTAAGTTGACCTTTCCTAATTTGGTCAAATTTTTCCAGGCTATAAATTGTTAGTAAAGAATAAGCCTGAATTCTTTCAGAGAGTCTGAGCACCCTTGGATGCTTCATGACAATCTACTAGAAGACTCCTAATGGCCAGTCTTTCCTGCACACTCACTCTGCTAGTTACACAGTGAGCAAACCCTTCATGGAGCGGGACTCCAAGGAGGAAGTGTATCAGATATGTCGGGGGCCAAGCCACCAAGCTTTCCCTGGCTTCCTGGTCTTTATTTATTTCCTGCCAAGGACTTCTCTTTCTTTCCCTCTGCTAACCCAGAAAAGAATACGACTGCTCTCTAATTTCCCACATCCAATCCCTGAAGATTTTTAACACTTGAGTTCCATTCCCAGCAGGGATACCTAGGTCCTTACACCTTTGTGTCTGGGCGGGCACAGTGGCTCCTTGGGCCATATTAGCCGGCCGATCCCCCAGAGGGACCTCTTTTAGCCTCCCACCTCCACTGTCTTCATCCCGGCATAGATGTGACCGTGGTGCCTGTCCTCAGAAGCTGACTCAAGTGCCTCCCACCACTACTTGACACTGTGTGTTCTCCATGTCAGACACCTACCCCGACCCTTACTACAAGGATCTTCTGGCTCCACTGTTTAACTAGCAAACAGCCCTGAGGCTAGAGGCTCTCTAGTGAAGAAATGTGGTCAGCCTTTGCAAGCCAGAGCTCTGCGGAGCGCCCCAGCCCTTAAGCCGGAAGCAAGGATGCTTCTTCCAGCTAGCAGTTGACCCTCTGTGTGGATGTTTACTGCTGACATGTGGTCTGTCTCCTCTTGCATGGCATGGAAAGGAGACGGATTTCAAAGCAGCCCTTGTTTATTGCTGCTTCAGTTTCCTTTGCTCCAGGCTCCTCGAACTGGAAAATAGCTAATCAAGAGTAGTGCAGAAAACTGATTTCAGCTGTTTCCTTTGCAGTTCACACCATTCCTTTCCTTTGGTGACTGCATTCTTCTCCCCCGATGGGGGTTTGCAATAAGAAGGATGCTTCAGAACTAGTAAATGGGCTACCGGGGGAGGGGGTGGGTGAGTTAAAGAGCAGATCTTTCTTCTCACCCCCCCCATCACTTCCCACCCCTGGAGACGGAGTTCTATTTTTCTGTGAACAATGCCTAGCCTGCAAGGAATGGCCTCTCGAAGAGCCATTTAGCATTTGTGTTTCTACTGACTTTCTTTGTGTTCCGAGAGAAACTTACTCACTCGTGTTCATACACACACTGTGAAGATTGGCTGCTGAGCTATGGCAGCTCTGGGCCCAGAAAAATGTGAATGAAATGTAGTTAGCTTCCTCACTCTGATGTGGGTGTTTTCCCTGGTGCCGCTGTCCAGTCTCCCTTGATCACTGGATGTATTCCTGAAGCGGGAAGCACACAGCTCCTGTCATCTTATAGTTCATGGCCCTGTACAGCTTCTGAAGTTACCTTCTTGGAGCTGACTGGAGGTGGCACAAACCTGCTCTCGCCTCATGACAGCCAGGAGGTAAAAATGAGGAAGAGAAGGAGGCCAAGACAAATTATACCCTGTCAAAAAGACATCTTGGTGACACATGTCTTCCCATAAGTCCCCGCCTCCTGAAGTTTCTGTCTCCCAACCTATTAGGCTGTAAATCCACGTGTGGATTAATTTATTCCTAAATTGGGAGCCTTTGTGAGCCAGCCACCTCCCCAAAGCCCTACCCCATGAGCCTCGGAGCTAACCATCAACACCAGAGTTCTGGCAAACCTTTCAGAGTCTGGCAAACCATTACAGTGTGGCATTCCTGCTCTGAGCCTTGAGTCCCCTGAATGTCTCTTGTGCTCATGTTACTTCCACTCAACCAGAACTGACCAGATTCTCTTAACAGCCACTGCCTCTGTTGCATATCATCCTTCCATCACCTTCTCTGCCCTATATGCAGGAGAGAACCTTCTCAAAAAATCATCTGAGGAGTAATGCTCCCCCAGGCCATTCCCTCTTTCAACAATGTGTCATTCTGTGAGCAAATAGCCTTTCACTAAAACTCTGTTTATCAGGGAAGTCCTTGGCACATAGTTCCATCGGGGATGACTAATAGTGATGATGACGCAAGACGTCTGTGCCACGTAACATTCATCCCTAAATAAATCTCGCACACATTTGTGCATCATACATGCCAACATTATGCTTACCTTTGAAATGCACAAGAGAGTCCTGGTTGCATTTTAAGCAGAACCTCAGCACATCATCAGAACAGTGCTTGCCTCAAGTACAGTTAAAAGAGCAAGGAGTGTGTGTGGCTCTGGGTACTGAATTTGCCTTTTTCATAATTCACTGCTGTGTAAGAGCCACTTACCAAAGACTGAAAAAGCAGGCAGTCCGTGGAAAGACCTGAACTGTGAGATGAAAACAGTAATAGCCTCTTTGAGCAAGCTCTCACTTTAGAAACCTCAGCTACTATGCTGGCGCTACCCAACCAGAAGTAACATGGAAGATTATCTCCTTCAATTTAGGCTGCCAGATACAGAGAAAATTTCCAGTTAAATGGAAAAGTCAGATAAACAATGACTATTTCTTTATATGTGTGTCTTTCAAAGGTGAAGAATATTGAAAAAGAGAGCCAACACAGACCTCTGGCTTATACACACACACACACACACACACACAAACAAACACACACAAACACACAAACACACACACACACACAAACACACACACACACACACACACACACACACAGAGAGAGAGAGAGAGAGAGAGAGAGAGAGTATATTCTAGAAAATATTTGGACCAAAGCATTACTTACAATTTATCTGAGCTTCAATTTTAATAGACACCTTGAGTTTTTATTTGCTAAACCTATCAGCCCTAATAAATCCCTATCAAATGCCAAGGAAGTAAGCTATAAGTTAAAGCAGAAGACTTGAAGTTTACTGTAGTAAATGAGCTGGTGCCCTTCCAGCCATCAGGGAGGGAGGAAGGGAAGTGGTTTTTAGCCCCAAGGTTCCTGAGGGGATGGTGGAGAATGCACTCCTCTTTTTACCCTGTTCTGAAGCCAGCCCTAATGTGGAAGCTATCAAAATGCAGCCTCCCAAACGTAGTTCCCCAAAGCCGCTATAAATAACAAGCAGAGAATGCACCCAAACACCAACCACAGCAGTGGACTTTTATGGAGCCTTTGAAAATCAAGTCTAGCAGGGATCATGGTGGTCATAATGCCTGAGCTTTTCTCTCTATAACCCTTGAACTCTCTCCTGCTCCTGGCTTTTCAGAGCTTCCTTGCCTTTCATCTTCCCTGGAAGGTTCATGGCTTTTAGTCCCTCAGTAGGAAGCTGGGACCTAAGCCCTGCCTGGCTTCTCAGGCCTTGCAGTCCAGGTCAAGACATTCCTAGAGTGCCTGAGTTTCATGTTTTTTGTTTTTGTTTTTGTTTTTTCCTCCTTTTTGGAAAGACTTTGGTAAAGACATTTAAAAGTCAGCTGGTCCCATTTCAAGCTGTTTGAGCTTAGGTCACACCAGTGGCCATGGGGTTCTGGTCATTTTGTTTTGTTTTGTTTTTCCTTCTTCTCTCTCCTCTGTTTTGAGAGCTTTGGTGTTCTTATTAAAGTGCCAGCATTCTGGGAGCTTCTTTAGAAATAGTCTGGATCCCCCCCACCCCACCGCAATGGTTGGTTGATGAGAAGCTGAACTTTGCGTTTCCTCCTCACGAATCTGGCCTCACAGTCTCATAAGGTTTAAATGAAAATTGCTCAACAGTATGTAGAAGCTGGCATCATGGGCACAAGGACACCTCAGCAGTTAGATGACCCGAAGTGGCATTCACAGGGTTTGAACTTGCCTGTGATGAGGTCCAGTGTCCCTACTTCTTAGTATGATGGCATCAGCCCACCCATTTACAGCATTAGCCACTAAGGACGAAAACCACTCAGCAGAGGCATGCACACTCCAGGGCCGGTGAGGCATGGCAGCAAGCAGCCCTCACTCATTTCTCCACTCAACTTCAATGTCCTCTCTTCCACAGTGCGCTGATTCAGTTTTTCCAGCTGTTCCCCGAGTATGTGAAGAATGCCTTTTATGTCACTGGGGAGGTGAGTTGACATCTTATTTCCTTGTGTGCCTCCAATATTATGAAGACTGAACTATATGATGACAGTTAAAGCAAACATTCATAAGTGTGTGTGTGTGAGTGTTAGTATTGGTCCTGTCTGCCTTCACGGTTTCCCCCAAATATCCTCTGTGACAATGTTTTGATCTGGGGATGAGTGAAGGTTCACATATTGGGATAGGTGCTGTGAGTTACTGTGTTCCAATGTCCCGCCCCTTTTTGTCATTGCCCTTCATAGCAATGACATTTAGTGGGGACCAGGCGCCTACAAGTACATTCTGTACGGGAACCTGTCTTATTCTCCCCACAGTGTTCAGAGTCAGTGAGGATTACACCTGGATAAGCCTGTATGCTTTCCAAGCAGTCCACAGGGAATCACCTCATGGTGCTTTGCCCCGAGGGTGATTAAGATGGCATGGGCTAGACTCCACCACTTAAACACACCTGCTTCTGTTCGTAATTCATAAGTAGTCCATGGCCACATGAACCACTCTTCCCCAGGCCTGTCTCCCCACAGTTTTAGATCCACTGACAAGCCATGTCTATTTTGACCTGTAGGTTATAACACGGCAAGTTTCTCATCTGCCTTTGTACAGATCATCCCACATTCTCCTACAGAGCCGAGTTCCCGCTGTCTCCTCTCTGTATTCTTGTATATCCTGCTGGACCCAAACATTGGTATTTCTCTTTGATCTGTCAAAACTGATTACTTCTGTTTTTATGTTTGTTCCGATTCTGCTCTTTGAAAGGCCCTTCAAGCTGGCTCTTGTATCTTTTGATGGGTTTGGCCATTTTTGAGCATTTCCTTCTGTATCACAAATATTTGCCTCTGAAGCACCCTGTACATCCCTTGCCCTGATCCTGCATGGAGTCAGGCGTTTTTCTAGGGACTCTGGCTCCTTCCAATGGAGAATGGTACTGAAAATCCAAGGCTGGAGAACTAAGTGTGCTTGCTGCTGCTGGGGTGGCTGTTACTTTGGATCCTGTGCCTCTGGCTGTGTCCATAACTCTGATCCCCACCTCAGGCTTCTCCATTTCTTTCCTCTGCTGACATCTATGTGCACACCTTCTTCCACACTGAGGAGCAAGATTCCCAGCAGCACTGTGCTCTCCTCCGATGGATGTGCAATCCCACTCTGTGCCCTAAATGGCTTTAGCATGGCTCCATTGTTACCACAGCCAGCCTGTTTCTTCCGCCACTCTCTGCTGCTGTCCCTGGAGCTTTGTTCTTGTCTGGGTTCATTCCCAGGCAAGTGCTTTTCCTATTAAATAGCCCCTGTCTTCCACCCTGGTGCATGTCTCATGCACCAGACAAGTCTACCCATGCTCCTCAATCTCTGTTTGGGAACCAAAAAAGCTGGGCTAGAGGGATACAACAAAGGACAGCGACCAAGCCCTACCCTGATGCTGTGGGGGAGGAAGAGTCATATTGGGGCCATCATTCTCCAAGCCATAAGGCTTAATTGTGGAATGAGTAATCTTCACAGAAAGGTCCAAGGGATGGTGCCAGAGGAAGGGCTGAAAGGGTGGCAGGCAAGTGGTCCACAGATGTGCATGAGCATATGAAGGGGCCGAAAGACAAAGACAGGCTAAATGCCTAGGGAATGGCAAGCATGGGACCGGGAACTAGAGCCTGTCTTCTTTCTAAGCTGTCAGAGAGACTGCTTTAGCCATCCATACTAAGTTTGGTTTGGTTTTTAATACTCAGCTGCTCAGTATCAAATCACACTTACTTCCTCTGTCAGTAATATTGCCCAGTGTCCCTTTCCTTTTGGCCATTCCTAGAGGCAAGCTGGAAAAGGGACAGAAAGTGACACCCTTGTCATTTCCTAGTTCCCCCGGAAGACACACATTTCCCCTTCCAGCAAGAGACTGGTCTGCTCAGCATGTAATTCCTTGTCTAACAAATAATGTGGGGATGTCATTAACCATGTTGCTCCACCAAGCTGCCAAATGCTGGAGGAAAATTTTGACTTGTCTGTTTTATTTGTGCCTTGTGGTTTTATGCATGACATTTCCAAATGTGTGTGGGAAAAGAAAAAAAAATTGTATTCTTTGCTGCCGGGATGGATACTCTTAAAGAAACCTGTGCCTTCCATGTGATAAAGGAAGATGATGAGGAGGGCAAAAAGGGCCTGGGGGCAGAGAGGCAGCCACCATGTGGCCTCAGCTTCAAAAGAGCACAGTGGTCTGTCCATGCCTGTTCAGCCTTCTAGCATTGCGACACTGTGTCATTCCTAAAGTTCACAGTTGAGAACTAGCAACTGGGTTGCAGAAAAATAAATAAGGAAAGAAAGAAAGAAAGAAAGATAGGTAGAAAGAAAGAGAAAAGAAAAAGCAAAGCAAACATGAAGCCTCATGTGTTAAGTATGTTTGCGATTCTGTGTTTGGCTACAAGATGGACGTGCCTGCTCTAGAAGTCGCGTGCCTTTTTAGGAGGAAGAATAAGAAGTAGCGATGCCCCACTTCTTTGTTCTCACAGGTTCTGTTTGGTTTGTCATCTAAGACCAACAAGGAGAATAGAGTTCTGGGTTGAGGATTGGAGACCTGGAATAGAGTAGAGGAATTCCCGGTTGAGAATTGGAGAGCTGGGTCTTAATGGAGTTCCAGGCGAGTCGTTAACCTTTCCAAGTCTTTGTTTTGTTTTTAATCTTGCAATCAAGCGTGTTAGCTACTTCTAAAGTCAATTCCCATGGCTGTTTTGCTTTACTTATTAAAAGTTCCATGGCAGTCGCTCAGATTCACTCGTACAGCATCTCCATGTCTCTTCAGTTTGAACATAGTACTAACCCTCCCTGTCTCTCTCCAGCCCTTCACCAGTTCAACTGTTAAGTTATGGTTCTTCCCTTCCTTCCTTCCGTCCTTCCTTCCTTCCTTCATTTCTTATTTGCTTTTGTTTTTAGAGACAGGGTTTCTTACAGTAGCCTTGGCTGTCCTGGAACTCACTCTGTAGACCAGGCTGGCCTCGAACTCATAACGATCTGCCTGCCTCTGCCTCCCCAGTGTTGGAATTAAAGGTGTGTGCCACCACTGCCTGGCTCCTTCCCTTTCTGAGTGCTCATTTGTTTTTCTTCTTAGGGAGTCTCAATACATTTGTAGATTCAATCTTGAAAAACAATGGATAAATTCAAGGAATGTTTTTCTGCTTTTCATTGAGCCTGTGTGGGGTAGAGCACCCTTTTAATTTATGTTCCAGGAATGAAAGCAACCTGCATAAAGGGGCTGCAGCAACTGTCCCCAGTTCCAGGTCGGTCTAAGCGAGTCTGGAAATGATAATGGTACCTACTACATTGTGCTGTTTGAGTATTTGATTATATAATTCCCCTTAGATATTTCAGTGACTGACTGTAGTGAGCATCCAGCACATGATGCCTCCAAAGCATGTGGCTCACAGCATATAGATCAGGCCAGAAGTCTTTAGAAGTTCTGCTTGTTCATCATAGGTCTATAGCATTGCCAGTTCTAATCTGTGGAGCTAGTGTGTGTCTGGAACTCTAACCTAAAGCTTTGAGCATAAGCCAGCCCACTATTCCTCATTCTCAGCCAAAGTCATTAAAAAAAAAAAAAAGCATTTGTTTTTACCTAAATGATGAAGGAGCCTTGAAGCTGATATTAGAAGTTTGGTTGGTTTGTTTTATATGCATCAGCATGTGTGAGGACCCACCACACCCCACTGGCAGGGCATAGCAGGGAGAGGGGTGTAGGTCTGCTGTGGGTGTGAAGGACAAGGGAAAAGCCTCTTCTCTCTTCTCTTCATCTCTGCCCGGAACACCAACTGGAATTAATTTTCTCTAAAGAGAGACAAATGTGTCTGTAAATCACCCTCCTTGAGGCAGGAAAAAAAAAAAAAAAAAAAAAAAAACATACTTCAAAAAGAAACAAGCTGTGTTTAATTCCCGTGATTAACTTTCTTTCTAAGTGTTAGACTCCCCGAGCCAGTAACTATTAGTGAGAAAGCTCTTGTTCTTGAGGCATCGATGATGCACTGTAGAACCCTCCCCAGATTCCACAGGTCAGACTTGAAGTTAAAGAAGACAGCCCTGAGTAGAACACAGGCAGGCAGCAGGATGAAGAGGGACTGCCCACTGTTGGAGCACGGAGCTGCAGGTACCAGTCCAGGCAACGATTCAAAGCTGTAGTTTTAGAAGTGGGGGTGCTTCCCATATGGCAAGGCATATGCTTAAGACTGGGCATCTCTTTCCCATAGCAGAAAAGGTCCGTAGCCATAGCGGAATTGAGGACCAAATACAGGCATAACCTTGAATCTACTTACATGTTAGTTAATAAGTCCAAAGTAGGTACTTTATCTTCATCAGCATGGGAAAAACCCTATGGGGAGCATGTTGTATGACAACCTCATGGAGGTCATTATGGGCCAACGGCTAAGGGGGGCAGCCCAGCACACGAGAGTCATGTTTGTTTCATGTTTTCTTATGCAGTGTTAAGCCCCTGATAAATGTGAGATAGAAGGGTGGTTTCATGAGAGGCTGCTATTAGATACAATAAATCCATCAGTGTTATTTCTCCTCAGCTGCTTTCCATCTCCCTGTCATTGTCCCTCTCTCCTGCCCAAATCACCAGGGACTCTCCCATCTACCACCCTCTCTCTGCTCATCTCCCTCTCTCACTCAGTGTTATTCCTCTGCTCTTCTTCCTGTCCAGCCACATCATTCTTTTTCTCTTTCTCCATTCTGACCTACCAGCCCAGCCCATGGCTCATTAGAAAAGATGAGATCAAATTCTACCCAGAGTCTTTTTCTCTTAACATAGTTATGTTTGGATTAAGAAAAGTACCCATCACGTGGGAAGATATTTATTTATTTTATTTATTTTTTTATTTTTCTGGTCTTTCGAGACAGGGCTTCTCTATTGTTTTGAAGCCTGTCCTGGAACTCACTCTGTAGACCAGGTTGGCCTTGAACTCACAGCGATCTGCCTGCCTCTGCCTCTTAGGTGCTGGGAAAGCCAAAACTGGAACCTATT